TTGTCCACACGAGCAGCAGGAGGGAGAGAGAGGCGCAGAGAGGCAGACAGATCTGACTGATCCCAGGAAGTTGCCGTTTTGACAGGATACGGCGGAGGAGGCGGACGGACATGCTGGGGTTGAGAGGATGCCCAGGCTCACGCTAGCAGAGCTTCAAAGCCCGAGGACCTGGATCAGTTCAAAGCCCGATCACGGGACTTGCGGCCCATGTCTTTTGAATGGGGAACGTCCTTCTCGTGCTTTTCCGACGACATGGGACCACGGGAGCAGGGCAGAGGAGAGATCGTCGCTCGCCCGTCGTGAGGATCTTGACCGAAGGACACGAGAAACGGGATCTGACGCTGGGGTTGTGAGAGTTGGAGAGTGACGGGGGCAGAATAATTCCGTCGAAACAAAATGGCCTCTCCAAGGTTTTACGATTTCATGCGGGTGCTGAGTCGTTGGCAGATGGCCGTCAAGCATGGCCAAAGTATAAAAAAGATTAATCAAGAAAATAAAGGAATAACGGAGTACAAGGGACGTAGGCGTGGGTGGCCGGCCTCCCGGCGATCTGCAGCCGCTGCAAGGCTCACGAACTATCTACGAACCGCTTCAATCTTTGCGTGTTGCTCTCAAAGTTTATCGTCTGGCGTTCATTTCCCAGTTCGAGGGTCCGAGATACTGCTCAGCCACACAAGATTGAGGTGAATCACGTAACTCCGGGGGGTTAACCAACACCAAGGACGGCCAAGAGACTATCGTGATGTTGGATTCTCGCACATCGCGATCCTCTCTCTCCCCACGGCGGGGGCGACAACCAGCTGCTGCCGATTGGCGAATGAACGAGATGTTACACCGATGGGAGATGGAGATTGGGGGGTCATCCCACAACGGTGAGCAACAACGCGCCTGCTGCAGCGGGACTTTGATCCGCAAGCATGGTCCAGCAGGGCAGAACAGGGTTGAGGTGAGCAGACTCTCATTCGTAGAGAGAGTCATCACTCAGCATACTGAGCATAGTACGGATACCCTCAGATGCGGACGGACTACGATAGAGTGTGTGGACGGGCTCATCGTTGCATTGTGTCGGCCAGCGGCCCAGCAATGTGCAAGTGCCAGTCGCAAGCAAGGCGTTGGCAACCACTAAAGGATTCCATGGCGGTTCTGGTGTGAGTCTAGCGTGCTTCGCGACGGAATAGACAACTTGTTCGGTGTTAGCACGCGGCATAGCGGTAGCCATTCCATTTCGTTTCTGGTGATGGCTTCGTCTGGGAACATGGGCCATGGACACCGGTGGTGGAAAAAAGCAAGCAACAGCCGGGCGGTTCCTCCTCTAAGCCACGCAAGCCTCACAAGTCCCTCTCGTCACATACGGCCCGTCTACGTCTACTAACATAGTGTGGACCGAGGGAGAAAGTCTTCACTGGCGGCGGGGACGCTCCAACTAAGACTCTCGCTCTCAGCTATACTAGACGCACTAAAGGTGTTTATGTCTCTCTCTGTGTCTCTGCTTCTTCACGTGCTAGGACGCTAAAGTCGTTCGCGAAGTTTGACACGGAGACACTAGACGACGCCGTCGCCAGCCATTTTCTCAAGCGAAGTCTGAAGTCTGCACTTTGTCTCAACGTTTCCCCGTTTCCCCGTTCCCCGAGCCTTGCAAGCGTACCAAGGCAAGCAAGCCTCAAGCCTCTCGGGGGTCTGGGGAGGGTATTACGTGGTCGTCGTTTCTCCAAGTGCCATGCCAAGTTGTCGTCAAGTCTCAGGGAGGCTCTTCTGTCACAGGGCAGCACACATGGCAAAATGCAGAGTTGCAGACATGCAAAATGCAAACGGGAATGCAAATGCTATCAGTGTCGTCGCAGACGCAGACACAGACACCCACTCCGAAACCCTCTGATCAACAACAACCACTCACTTCCAAAGACTGGTATCCATGCACCCACATGAATGAGGATGGAGGAAACTTGCTGCCATAAGCATATTAAAGCAGTGGCAAAACATCAGAGCGACCGGAGCTGTCACGGCGGAAGACTTGGGACGACATCGGCGGGACAAGACGTGACGGAGCCTGTCATTTGGTCTTTGGCAAGCAACAACGGACGAGTCACCGCTTCATCCGAAGCCATTCTGTTGCACAATTGTGCCTGAGAAGCTCTCGGAACTCGAGGCCTTCTTCATGCCTTGGCCCTCACAAGGAAGGGATTCCCCAACCCCCCTTGAGTCTTGACCCAGAAACTCCGTTGCCGTTCCGTCTGCATCCCATTCCAATTCCCAAACCCTTTTCCTCCCATCTTTCCCGACCCTCGTCTCCAGGTCGATCACGGACCCCTTCCTCTTGAACCAGGGCCGTAGGAGCCAGAGAGAGGCAGAGGCACCTTGCAGAGGGCAGGGTATGTGCGAGACATCAAGGCCGGGGCCCGGGGTGGGATCAAATGTTTTGGGAAAGCAAGCACCAGGCCAAGACGATGACCACACAACACACATGCGCACATCCATGGGCCGTTCAAACTCAGAGAGCGAGAATCCGAGCAGAGAGGGCAGAAGCAGAGAAAGAGCCGACACCAGAGACCAGACTTCATCTCTTCCTCCCCTGTGACCCTGTCCTTGCAAGGTTCAAGCCACCCTGCGCAAGCGAGGGGGCCTTTCCTGGCGCCCGAGCTAAACTGAAGATCATATTGAAATTAGCCTTTGTTTCCGACTGTCTGTTTCCCTGCTCCACCCCCCTCCTCTTGCACCCCCTTCACACATCTCACATTTCTTACACCCTCGTGCCATGCCAATATGGAGTCTTTCCCCCCTCCTCCTCCAAGAAACAGTGTCCCGGTGCCCCTGATGCCCCATTCCCCTATCGATGCCGTGCCGTCTCTTTAACGCCGCCGCCGTCCGATCCCCTCGCAAAAAGCCCACAGCCAAGATGGGGGGAAAAGACAAGATGGAGAGATGTTGTCAGAGCACACCGACCCAACAGCAACAAGCAGCAAAGCAGGGCCCAATAGAGGAGGCTAACGAGTCGCTGACAGCTACCTTCAAACTTGACGTGCGTAACCCTTTCGCACGGCCGCCGCTGCAAGCGATGTCGACGACGCCGAACCTAGCGGCAGACGCCAGACCAGGAGCTTTGCGGCGACTGCGGGAGAGCTTCGCTCGCGGCTTTTCCATGGGTGCCACAAAGCCAACCGCCCCGAGTCGAGTCGGGCTGCAGTGACGAACTCTATCTAGCGGTGCGTTGCGTTGTGTTGAATTGCGATCATATGGGATCACTGGGGCCGACTTGCCTGGGCTGAACTCAACTTTGAACAGTTTCTGCTCCATTTCCAATTCGGACTGATGCCCGACCCGAAAGCCTGGCGGACGGTCAATCCTTCACCACACTGATTTTCGTGGCTAAATTGTGAATGGTCAAAATGCCACTCTGGGATGCGACTCTGGCACTCAGAACTAGTTGTGTCGGCATCGCCAAGCGGCAACTGCCTGAAGGTTGCAACGCACACGACACAAAGTTGAGAGTTGTCTGAAGTTGTCAAAAAAAAAAAAAGTTGTCGTCCAGAGTTGACCGGCTGTTGCCGTTGCACAAAACAGCTCTTTACATGAGTTGACGCTACGCAACGCAACGTCTTGGGAGCTGTTTCTCTATCTTTCATCCCGATGACTCCGCATGAGATGCCAAGAGCAGGCCGTTTTCCCAGCCCGTCAACCCTTTTTTATCATTAAGCTTGTCTTGAGAGCAACGTGATGAGCGTCAATCAAAACAGCATCCGGCCAGAATGCTTGCCACTCCTGCCTCTCAACCCTGCAGCAAATCCGGAATATTGTTGCAATTAATGTCCCATGATCTGGGAAGGGGTTCTTCCGTGCCCCTGTGTATTGGTATTCGCATGCCCCCCCACGGATGCGAGGCCGAACATCATAGTAGCATAGAAACAACTCATTATGCTGGGAAGAGCCGTTGAGACAAGATTGGGATCATCTCGCGTCGTCGGCAGATTGAGCGAAGTTTGGATCCGACAATCTGCATCATGGGCAACTTGCCATTTCAACACATCAGGACGATTCTGGAACAAAGACACCAGTCATCCGAACATGGTACCTAGCACGGCACGCTGAAGCACCGCGTCCCCCCTCCCTCCTCTTCTGAAGTCTCGCAGCCTTGGGATGACGTTCTGGCATCTGCACATTCGAGGCAGAAGCGACGAACGGCATAAGATCACCTCGACAATCCGGTCGCAGCACAGGGCTGGCAGGGTCTGATGAAGCTCTTGGGGCGTCACACGCCGCACGCCCCCCGACGTCAGTCAGGCACAGAGTCGTTGCTCGTCTCAAGTGCGTGCGTGTGTGCGGAGCAGTGTGTGTCTGTGGTGCGTGCCCATGGCTGGCAACCCCAGTCCACGAACACCACGGTCCATAACGAACACATCTCTCTCTCCCGTCATGCCTCTTGATCTTCCTCTCTTCTACACCAACCCCTCGGGCCTCCGTCCCAAACACACAAGCCTTCATGACAGGACAGGGGTCAAGCATCCCAGCCCCTCGGGCCTCCGTCCCAAACACACAAGCCTTCATGACAGGACAGGGGTCAAGCATCCCAGACTGCCCCGTCCTCGGAACGGGAGCAAGATCCATATTAGGAAATGGTGGCCCGAGTGGTGCCATGCATAACAGCACTGGATTCGGATTAGCCCTTGCTAGGCTAGCGGCCCACGCACCACGGCCGTGGGAGGGGGGAGCCGGGGAGGCGTGGCCAAGGGTGTGCCGGCAGCGTGAGAGTTTGTGAGTTCAGAAAGACAGACAGAGAGAGAACGAGAAGAGTAAGAGGGCGTGTGGCCAAGATATGTAGGGGACTCTCAGGACATTCCCGTGTGGGAGAAGGAGGAAGAGGCGTTCAGAGCAGGGCCCTGACGAACAGCCAGGACACACGGCTGGGGTGTGGTCTTGAACAACAGACCCTGCCGTTGCATAAACCAGTGACCGTTTGACCTCAGCGATCCATTGACGTTGATCCCAGACGGGGTCAGTCGCCCTCGATCTCACCCGCAATCCCGGCTACTGCTGCCAGCCAGCCAGCAACACGGATACACCCATTACCTACTGCGTAGAAGTACGGATACACTACGTCTCTTTTCTTTCTGCCCACGCCAGACTCGAGATCGTTGTTGTTATGATTATGGTTCAGGCACACAACCAGCATCGCTCAGGATCCCCCCGATGCACCCCCAAGTAAGAGAACCGTCCAAGTATACCCTTGCCCCGTCATCCCGATATCCAGGAGGCGCTATAGCCAGGCTACAGATACATCGAGAGACAGGCCATCGTGCTCGTGCTTCTCTCACTCTCTTTCCTGTCTCTGCTACTTGCTAGTTCCTACCCGTTGTCTTCCTCTTCCTTCTCTCCTCCCCTCCCCTCCCCTCCCCTCCTCCCTCTTCACGGCCCCCGGTCTCATCTACCTAGTACCGATGACCCCGTCCTCCTCCCCTTGTCGTTAAACCTCGCAGCACGACTGAGTAGTACGTACCCCATAGATGACCCAAGACGAGGACCTTGGACTGACCCTTGCTTCGCTACCATCAGAACCACACACCCCCGTCGTCGCCGCCTTTCGTCTGGTCCCAGGCCTGGCGTAACGGTCCCAAGACTTATCCCACTCTCTCTGCCTCTGACCCACACACAATTTGTGACAGGCGATTGTGGCATCTCATCGTCCAGGGATCATCGTGTGGATTTACGCTTGATCACCCATTCCACTCTGCTTCGGGAGATCTGATATACCTGCCTCCCCCATCTGCCACCTCTACTCCATCCGCCCACCAACAAGCTTCTTTCACCAGGCCATTTCATACTTAAACTACCCACCCTCCCCTTCCCCCTCATCGACTTGGAATCTCGAATAACTCCTGAAGCAAAATCAATCTCTAGTATCCAGCTGGCACTTGGGGCTAATCACTACTCTACATCTAATACCTGTTGTGTTAATATTCAACGATCTACCACCATCACCATCACATCAACCACATCTGTCATCAACTCATCGACGACAAGACCGAAGTCAACTACAAGGAGAAAAGGATCAACTACACCACGCAACCAGCACCAAGCACACTTCAAAGTTTTTCAAAACTCTTAATCAGCAACAATGGCGAGCGCTTTAATATCGAACCCGTACGCTGCTCAGCAAAGCGCACACTACGGATACGTCCAACCGCCTCAACCTCCCCCATCGCCTCCCATGGACGAGACATCAAAGTGCTCTCTCCCCTCCATCTCAAATCTCCTTGGCCTCGCAGACCAGGGCTCACCCACATCCGAGACGCACCCTCAGATTCCTCAGCAAGGTACGGACAGGAAGGACAGCGCAACAGACAACAGCAACAGAATACTGACCTCCCGCATAGCATCCTCCCAAAAGTCCGAGACGAGACCAAACTCTTCTCACTATGGCCGCGGCGGACTTCCTCCCACGCCTCCCATGAGCTCCGACGCCTCCTTCGATGGCTACAACTCTCCCTCAACGAGATCCGTCAGCCAGCTTTCCGTCGTCTCACAACCCCAGAGCAACTACTACTATGAGTCCACGCCGCCTCTGGAAGCCGAAGCCCACCGCCACATGGCTCCCATGATCCCAAGAGTGCCCGTCCAAGGCTCATACGCCCAGGCCCAGCCTTTCCCGCCTGCCTACATGCCCGCCCACAACCCCATGGCGGCTTCCTACTACCCTCCCATGCAGCACACCCCTCCTCCTCAGGCTCAGATCTCTGGCATCTACTACCAGCGCCCTCTTCCTCAACAATTCCCGCCCATGGCCCCCGTTCCCGTCGGCATGGGACCCAACGGCACCAACCCTTGGCAACATCACCACTACATCTCCCCCTCCTCAGCGGCATCCTTCCCCCAGAGCCAGGACCGCTACATCTGCCAGACCTGCAACAAGGCCTTTTCCCGCCCTTCATCCCTGCGCATCCACAGCCACTCCCACACCGGCGAGAAGCCCTTCAAATGCCCGCACGCCGGCTGCGGCAAGGCCTTCAGCGTCCGCAGCAACATGAAGCGTCACGAGCGCGGATGCCACAACTTTGAGAGTGGCAGCACCTGCAGCAACTGATCGACAATTATAATTTGAACGGTTATTTCTATTCACTGTTATCATGATCAATACGACAAAAATCCTGGGGTGGAGTCGTCAAACGCGCAAAAGAGCTGGAACGGCAAAGGGGCAGGGGGGTTCGGACCGGTTTCAACGGGAAAGATACCACGTGGTAGAACATTATCACTTTTACCGCAACTGCAACAACATCAAACGACATCAATTTTAACATCATAATCAGCAACGACGAAAACAAACAACAACAAAAACCCTCAACCATCAGATCAAAGTCTTTTCAACGGCGTTCAACAACTACAAAAGAGGGTTCCCCACGGATTGGAGAACATCATCCATTGGCGGTCCTCTGGATTCGGGGAAGATTGGGGTCACTCAAAGGCAGAGGAAGACATCTGTTTCTTCTCGACATGTGTTAAAGTTGGCTTTCCTTCTTCTATTTTCCTTTTCGTCTGCTTTTTACCACCGGAGCAAGAGGCGTGAATCATGGCTGGGGCAAAACTGGTCACGGACAAGAAGTCCAGCCAGGCAATGAGAAAACTTGGCATTTACAGGCGTTTTGAATTGTATACGGGGGATGGGTGGACCGTGTGTGGAGGTGGCACGACGTTTATTGTGTGTGACTGAGTCCTCTGGTTCGGAGGCAAGTCGAGAGGCAAGGTTGTTCCTGTGAGGATTTCCCTGTCTTGGCAGTGTTTTGGGTTGTCTCTTTTTCTACTTCTCTTTCCATTATTATTCCGGTTCTTGAACGATTATATCAAAATGTACGATTATGTGGTAATGTATATAGAAAGGAGAAGCCGCACAGAATCGAACAGAGGAGAGGATTGAAAGATCATCATGAGTTTCCCATACTCTTTGCGCAGTGACTTGGTGGTTTCGTCAGTCTTTTCTGGCCACATCTTTTCGTCCCAAGACGCAACATGTGTGGGCTTAACCTTGTGGGTTCTGTTGCAATGAGGCGAACTTGGTCCCCTTGCAACACAACAAGCCTGGACCGAGCACGTAGGAAAGCTCGGATCAGTCCGATTCATCTCCCCATCACTAACATATCACTAATCTTTTGACTACCGCTATTGTGTTTCCTCACGGACGTACACGTATTCGGAATAGCTTCTCCGACACAGGCACTCATAGACATGAAAGTATAGTTTGCTATGAGCCATTTCTCACTAGGTACGTTGACTTTGAGGCTTGAGACCGGACGGAAAAGCCGCCGATCGCAACATTGTGAGATGGCAGCTGCTGATGACACAGGCACATCCGTTAAACTCCACCAGGGTGGGAGGGGAAGAGGAAGGGGGGGGATGCTTCCCATTTTCTCCGTGGATCTAGCAATCTAGGTACCTCCTCTGTCTCCATCCATTGAAAGAGGAAATGAAGAGCCCAAGTTCCAGAGCGGGAACGTTGGGTCTCGGAGAGAAGTGCGTTGAAAGGGGAGGCGGTAGGGCGGAAGACGGCAATGATTGACACCAGGGAAACTCAGCCCGGAGAAAGAAAGAAAAAAAAAAAGGCAAATGATCGACGTTGCAGAAAGGTGTCAGAGAGTTGGCGGTGCTCTTGGGATGAGACAGTCAGAAGATTTACGCTTAAAAAATCCACCGCCTGATTTTGTCTTGTTAGGGTGGTATGTGCCTCTCTCTACCAGTTTCTCTCCCACCCTGTTGTGTAAGGTGTAAGAGAAGTGAGGTCAGTGTTGCCTTTGCATATTTTGTTTCGGCCGGTCTTTTCGCCGTTGATCGTCTACATGGTTGACCGATGGAACCCAAAATCTCTCTCTCTCTCTCTCTCTCTCTCTCTCTCTCTCCAACATCCAAAGAGGCCAGATTGATTTTGTCCACGGCAAAATAGCCGTGGGTGCTGAAAGTCATGCGACCAACCATTGTCTCTCTTTACGTCTCTTTCCTTCGAAGTTCAGCAAGGTAACTCCAAGTTGTCTGCTTGTCCCTATAGAGTCTATTTTGCCTTTCGCTCCTTCGCCTCATCGCTACTTGACACGAGACTTGCCCGACAATCGTTTTTATTGTTCAGACCGATGAAACGAACCGGAGACCCCAGCCCGAGCGTTGGCCCTTACTCTGACTGGCTGACTGACTGACTTGGCTGACATCCCATCCTTTCTTTTTTTCTTTTTGCCTTTCCGTTCCTGATCCCATCCCTTCCCGCAACCGCAATGCGGCTGAAGTGTGAGATTGAGAAAGTGTGTGATGTGACACCTGACTGGGGTCAGAGTTGGCTCTTGCACTGCTCTGTCAGCCATGTATAATAGGCTCGACAGTGTCTCGTGCACGTCACGGAGTGGGCTTTTTCTCGACTTCATTGTTTCTACGCTGCGGTCTGTGTGTTCGCTTCGCACGGCACGGCATTGAAGAATATCTGGTGTTGGTATGTGCGTGCATACATACATGTACCATACGGCAGATACACACACATACACAGTACTTCCCGGGCCCAGTTTGTTTTTCTCTTTACGAGTGACTGATTCGGGGGGTACGCTGAAGGATGATGACATTAAGGGTTTTAAGATTACAATGTCTCAACTCATGAGATGTATCTCTGTAGCTTTTTTCGAATTAAGGAGCCTCCACCTGTTGGTGGACTATCACTAAACCTCACAAAACGTACGCGGCCCTGCTCGGGAATTTATTTTTCCCAAATGTTTAGCGCCACCGAACCGGAGCAACTGAGACTTCAAAGTCCGAGTTAAGAAATGGCCGACCCGCTGGCCTTACGGAGTACGTGGGTTCTTGGCTTTAGCAGTTCAGCTTTCGGTATCCAGAAAGGCACAGAGTGTCAGTGACGAGACAAATCGAGACCGATTCTCGTTGATCTGACTAGCGTCGCTGGCTGAGTCGATGGGGTCTCTGAGGTGGGCGGGGAGGGCCCTCGGGGAGTTGGAGGATCGAAACTCTTTTGCACCACAGAAGCGCCGATGGCCACACACACACACACGCACATACGAAAGGCACAGAGTGACAGAGTAACATACACTACACTATCCGAACCCGCGTGAACCAAAGAAGAGCAAAGTCTGGTATGACAGCGCCGGGCCAACCCCGGATAAAGAGGAAAGGAAAGGGAAGGGCAAGCAAGGTAGGGGTCGGGGAAAGGGATGGCTGTCAGGATTGCTGCAGCCAGCGCCGATCCGCGCTGCGATAGAGAGTGGGAGACGGCAGGGGGAAGAAACAAGACCTACAACTCTAAACCGGGGGGGTTCAAGAAAAGTCGGCCACTGTAACTGGTCAGGAGGGGGCTTTGCTTTCTTGGACACTGCGACGGTAGCATCGAGGGCACACGGGGAGACGGGGATGGGAAGATCACAGCACGCAGTTTGGGGACAAATTCTCGGGGCCAAGGTCGGAAAATGTCCATTTACGACCTGTTACGACGTGGGCGACTTTCCCATCGCGGCTCCAACGGTGCAACGGCGCCAAAAAGGGGAGACAATGGCGTAGCATCAACGGCTGGGGGGACTCAGCTTTATTGGCCTGGTGGCGCGAACTACTTTTTTCTGCTGCCATTCGTCTCTTTCTTGCCGGGCAGGGCAGAAAAGGATTGGGAGGTGCTCTGTTATGTCGGCGGCACATTAAGCTTCTCGTGTCGTCCTGACTCGGCCTGCAACGTCAAAGTCTCTCAAGTGCCATGCTGCAATATTGACAAGAAGCTTTTGGGCCAGGTGTTTTGTTTGTCAATATCGATCTATCGTTTCTCCGCTCCCCTTTTCTTTTTTGTTTCTTCATGACTCCGTAATATAGTGAATGTTAATGTTTTTACCCTCTTTTATTCATTTGGAGCAGCCCCTTTGATCAGCCAGGGTTCGTAGAACTCTATTGATATGATTTGCAAAGGATCAAGGCGCCCTTAATTGCAATTATGTTATATTATTCCGTGTTTTACCCATCGAGTCAATCTTCTGCCCATCATGGGCACTCGTTGTTTTGATGGATGGATGGATCTCCGGACCCTTAATTCATCGTACTCATGTCAATACGTGCGTATGTAATACCAAGCTTTTCCTTCGCTGGCATCCTGTTGGAGAAAATGGGGACTCTTTCCCCCCCTCGAGCGGGGTTGCTGACTTACGAGTCTAAGACATGGCTTGACAAGCTTGTCAAAAAAACACCCCGAGGAAGCCGGCTTGTTATGGGAAGTCCAATCTCGGGAGTCGGGCGGACGCGGAGTGGATCGACTGGCGCTCCGAGATGAGGCTTTCAAGCGCCGCTGGCACGGATGTACGGAGTAGCACCCTTCTCCAAGTAGTACTGTAGTTGTTTACGACCTGTGTCCTGCAAGCTGTCTGGTATTTTGGCCATCGCATGGGAATGGACCCTTACTTTGATGACGATGCTGTTGTTGTTATTGTTATTCTTCATGCCCCCTTTCCACACCGGCCTTTCTCGACAAGCCCTTTCCCAGTTGCGAAGAGTATGGATTCGACCCGCAAACGGTGATCACCATTCCATCTCGCAGCGCAGAAGAGGGACGATGCCTGCAGCGCCAGGCACAATAATCCACAGGAAAACGGCGTGGGAGCCTGGTTTGCATGCAAAGCCAAAAGGAACACGCCGGACGCAGGGAGGAGGGGCCGACGACAATGACTATCTCTCTCACTGGACTCCGTAGACTGTGGGTAGAGCGAGCCGGCAACCGTTTTCTCCATCAAGAAGCTCAGTAGTGTACGGAGTAATGTACAAACGCGCGCTACGGATATTCCGTAGAGCGTGGACTCGTGGAGTGATTGCTCTCAACGTTCATCTCACTGTCGTCAGCCACAGGGCAGTGCTTGCCTTTCTGCCCCTCCCTGTGCTTTCACTGCAATCTTGGAGTCGAAAGGTTAGTCTCTAATAAGGCATTATAAGAGTACGGAGCCCGGTAGGATAGCACGGCTAGTCACAAATGACTCTGCTCTCACGCTAGACGCAGACCAAATTCCTTCTAGCGCTGCGCGCCAGAAAGTCAAAACCATGGACGAGGGGGGGGCACACCTTTCACTCCTTTGGCGGAGCGATCTTGGCTAACGATAGTTTGGGGCCCCTCCCTCCCTCCACCTTCCCGAGCCCCCTACCCTGCCCGGCGCGCCGGGAAGAGTGGCAGCGGTGGCCTGTCCTTGCCGACGTTCGTCGGGAAGCCTGCGATGGCCCTAGTGAATCCGTGCTCCTATTGCTCTCTCTTGCTCGTCGCAACTTGCTAGCCATTGGTTCCTCCTCTTCTTGGCTGTTCGGCGCCGAACGAGGACCTAAAAGCTTCTGGCTGGAAAGGACGAGCCTAAACAGACAAGAGACACTAGAGACGAGAAAAGTCTAGGACGGATAGTGCCAAGAGCTCTCGATGGCCTGATCTACCCCATGGCGTCATGAGCCTTGAGCACTGGCTCTCACAGTGAGAGGCGACAGATCCCTTTGGGCATGAATGTCGGGTTATTAGCAAATCTCGCTCTGGGGGACCGGCGATTCGGTACAGGTCATCGCCCTGTCCAGCGTATCGTCAATATTGGATTTGATCGTGTCGCGTGTGGTGTGGAATAACGTAGTAATCGACGATATAGAGAGGCGTTCGCCAGCTATTGCATCTCATGTTGCATTTGACATGCTCTCTAGGCTTTCCCACTGCCACCGTCTCAACCGGCGATGGGAAGAGCGCAGGTTCTCGCTGACTGACCGCCCGAGAAAGCGAGGATTACAACTACTGGGCAGTTGACTAGCTAGAACTTATGATGGGGGGGGGGGTCGGCCACTCACCGTGCCCACCCCGTCTAGCCGGTCCCAGCTCCGTCTCAATATCAAAAAGTCGAAGTCAAACAAGCAGAACCCTTGCAGGCCTTCCGAGCAGGGGGATGC